CGAGGACGACGACGGCGACGACGGCGGCGGCGACGGCGACGACGACGCGGGGAGGAGGAATGCAGGAGGAGGGAGTTAATTAGGATGACACGGGGGAGGAGGGGGGGAGGAGGAGGAAGGGGGGGCAATGAGGAGGAGGAGAGGAGGAGGATGCGGAGGGAAGGAGATAAGAGTTGGGGAGGGAGGCAGGGATGATGACGAAGGCAAAGAGGAAAGGGCAGCGCGCGCTTCCTGTACCGCCTCGTACCGCCAGCGGTCCGCCAGGGAGAATACTCTGCATCGGCATCACCAATCCCCACTCCTCCCATCCTCGTCGTCGTCCTCCTCCTTCTCCTACCCCATCCTCTGCTCCTCCTCCTCACCTCCCCCTCCTCCTCCTCCTCCTCCTGCCCACAACCTCCTCATCCTCCTCATCTCCTCCTCCTCCTCCTCCTCCTCCGCACCCTCCTCCTCCTCCTCCTCCTGCCCCCCCTCTCTCTTGTCCCCTTTTTCCCCTTTCCTCCCGCGTCCTTCCCCCGTCCCTCCCCCGTCCCTCGCGCCCCTCTCCCCCCCCCCTTCCCCTCCTTCTCCTTTTTTTCCCACCTCCCGCCGCCGCCGCCGATGCAGCCGACGCCGAGTTAGGAATAGTTAGGGGAACTTGTAAAACTTACGGAGGTTACGGGCTCTTACAAGTAACTTACAAGTTACTTGTAGCTACTTGCACATTGGTGGCGCTAACCATCTTATGTAAATCCAATATAAGTCATTCACAACATCTTACAACTCGCCTAAGACCAAAATCCACAAAGCATGGAGCTGCTCACCGCGGCACGCGGCGGCGGCGGAGCCCGCGGCGCCGTGGCCGCGGGCCCGGGCGCGATGCCGCCAGCCGCCGCGGGGGGCCCGGGCGCTGGCGGGCGCGCCGCGGGCGCCGACGCCGGCCCCCCTCCGAGCCCGGAGGACCGGCCGCCAGGCCTGGGCCCCCCGGCCGGGCGCCGACGGTCGCCCCGAGCGGGGCCTCGGCTTTGGCCGCCGCGCCCCATGGCTTGGCGGGCGCCATCGGCCAGCAGGGCCAGGAGAAGGCTTCGACGATCCAGACCAAGCCGCGCCACAGCCTGCCCACCCTCGGGGACGGCGACTTAGACGTGGACTCGTTCGTCGAGGAGTTCGAGGAGATGGTGGGCCTCGCCAACGACGGCGCTGCCACAACGGCGATGGAGCTGGCCCGGTTGCTCGGGGCTTGCCTGAAGGGCTCGAGGCAGCGGGCCTACAAGAGGGAGCTGAAGCAGGCGCGGCGCTCAGGGCGGCTCGCGGCGGACCCCGGCGATGTTTGCCGGAGCTTGAAGGACCGCCTGATGGAGTTCAAGGAGGGCCTGCTGGAGAAGCAGCAGCGCCTCAACGCAGAGCGGCGCACCCTCTCGAGGGAAGCTGTCGGCCCTCGAGTTCCAGGCGAGCTTCGAGAACATCGCGGCGGAGATGGAGCTGGCCGGCATGGGGAAGTCCGACCGCAACCTGCCTCTCAGCTACCTCGCGCTCGTCCCGCCTGGTCACCGCGCCGACGTGCTCAGGGGCCGCCGAGTGTACCAGCGCGCAGGCGGTTCACTGGAGGTGCGAGGCGTGGAGACGCGGCGGGACCATCGCGTCCTGCTAAGGCTGGAGGAAGCCGAGAGCTCGGCGAAGGCGCTCGTCGCTGCCGTCGGCGCTGACGCCCCGCAGGGCGGTGGCGGCGGCGGTCGCCGCAAGCGCGGCGGCGGAGGCAGCGAGCAAGAAACCGGCGACGTCAGCGCGGCAAGGGCGGCGGCTCTGACGCGCCCAAAGTGTGCTTCGAGATGCGCGACTCCGGCTCCTGCGCGCGGGGCGACGGTTGCAGGTTCTCGCGCGACCGCGCCGTGCTGGCCGAGGCTTGCAAGGCCGAGAAGGATGCCGACGGGCCCAAGGGCAAATCCAAGGGCCCGCGAGGGCCCGTCCGGGGACGGGGCCCGGCCTCGCGCCGGGTCCGTAGGCCCCGCGCGGGCTGGGGGTCCAGGAGACTCGCATACGATCAGTACCTCTACTACTACTACTACTACTACTACTACTACTACTACTACTACTGCTGCTGCTGCTGCTGCTGCTGCTGCTGCTACTACTACTACTACTACTACTACTACTACGAGTAGTAGTACTACTACGACTACTACGATCACTGCTACTACTACTACTACTACTACTACTACTACTATTACTACTACTACTACTACTACTATTACTACTACTACTAGTACTACTACCACTACGGGTAAGATTGATATTGCCACCACTTCTACTACTACTACTACTACTACGACTGCTACTACTACGACTCTACACGACTACTACTACTGAAGTAAATACTACCACTACTACCATTACTACTACTACTATTAACTACTACTACTATTACTACTACTACTACTACTCTCTACTACTACGACGACTACTACTACTACGACTACAACACGAACATTTACTAGTACGACGATTATTACGACGACGACGACTA